TGCTTTTTATTGAAAGAACTAATGAATAAGTAACAACAAATTGCTCATAAAAATGTGAACGCGTCACGGAAGGCCTGAGCAGCTTTTGGAGGCTTTAAATCGCACGGTAATTTGTAGGCACGTAGCAGTTTAAGAGGAACCCGCCGGCAACTTCATCGAGCTTCTCGGTCCGATTCCACAGCCCAGGATCTCTGTCCTTCAAACAGACACGACCGTTCGCATACAGTAGGTTCCAGAAGCGAGGGACGCTTTATGTAAATAAATGTAGGATAAGCCAAGTAGTTGTTCGAGCTAGGAACTGATTGGTGTCATTTACAAATACATATGAACTAGATAGCTTTTGGAGAAAAACAGTAGGAACACGTTCCCGCTAGCTGTTCTCAAAACTGCTTTCATGAGGGAAGCTCTTTGTAATCGTTTTTCTTACTCTCGTCAAGCTGGAAATGTTGCGAGAAAGTGCTTGTTTTAATCATTTAGAACTGTGGCCTACAATTGCTCGCGAAACACGCTATTTGTAATTTAGGTCATCCTCTGGGAAACCGTCTAATGTGTAGGATGTACAAACATTCACAGTTTTACAATCATAAAAAATAGAATTGAGCGCAGGCCAACTGTCAGGATTTTAAATGAGGAATGGAACTGCTGAGGTGAACATCATCGCTGAAGTCTTGTAGCGCCTGTGTCCATGATTAGAAATAATTAAAATCATACCGAAAGTCATCCTACTGATTTATAGGACACGGGAATGTAACCTGGAGTAACGCCGCACAGAACTGTCTGCTAAGCTCCACTTTGAATGTCACCAGTATGCAATTTTCTGGCGTGTATCAGTAGCCCATTTGGCCATTGGTCACATTGCCGCTCCCGTATTTCCACTGCCATCTTTAGTCACGTTTTCTCTAAGATGAAAATCTTTTTCCGGTTTTTCAAATGATTTATTTATTTATTTGTTTGTTTATTTGGAGGAGGGGCGAAGGGAAGCGGAGCGCAGGAAGCGGGCAACGGGGGCCTCTCGAAAACGGCAGGGCCGGGGACGTTCTCCGGGAGCGTGATCGTCTGTCGTTCCATTCGCTTCAAATGCAAAGCGATCCGTTTGAATCGGGTACGGTTATTCAACTTGTCAACGAAACCAACAACGAGGCGAAAAGGAGAAGCGCGTAACAAACTTTAATTTGAAAGGCACTTTACGTCCGTCATTCAGATCCGGAGCCCACGTGCCGAACTGTCAGAGTCCCGGCCCGGCCCTAATGAGACCCAGCCGCGTTAACGAGCGCCAGGTGCCGCGAGGCCGCGCCCGCCCGCGCACAGCTGCGCCTCGTCCGGAGCTCGGGGGCGGAGCCCGTCGCAAAGCCTCTTAAGCTCCACCGGAGGCAGACGGGAGCTACGAAGCAGTTCTCCGGGTTCCTCGGCTGTAGGGGCAGAGCTGGTTCTGTGTCTTCGTCCACGTGTAGCGCCGTCGGGGCTGAAAAGGTACGTGAGGGGCTGTTTTGAAATGAAATCCTGTAAGCGTAACGTTACCTGTTGCTTTGTTTCAGGCTGCAGCGAGACCGCGCGCAGTAAGGATCAGCCCGACCCGGTGAGCGCTCGGTGGGGAGTCGCGAGGGCCGTCCAAGCCGCTGGTTTTGTGTTGGCGAAGCGCTGCTGTCGGGCTCTCCCGGTTCTTCGGAGCCGGAGTAACATCGCCGCCCGGCTTTCATTGTATTTTCGGAAGGGGCCGACGCGGGGCCGCGGCTCGTTTCCACGAGTCCCGGCGCGGCGCTCTCAGTGCCCCGGGGTTTTTCGGCGGATGCCTCGGTACCTCCGGCCGTCATCGGCGGGAGCGAGCGGGACCGTGTCGCTTTAGCCTGCGTGCTGCTGGGGTTGAGAAGCGACACGAAGGGTTGCTAAGACTTAAGTCATCTTATTGCAGGCGGAGCGAGGACTGCGGCGGAGCATCTCGTCGGCCCCAACCGGCGAGCGCCTGGGGTCCCCAGGTAAGCCCTCCTGCTGGGGGTTTGCGTAGTGCCGCCGCTCGGCTATCTCGGCGTCTTTCGGGTCGGCACGGTGCCGTTGCCGAGCTCTCGTACAGCTTTTTAGAGAAGCTGGCACGGGGCCGCGGCTCGTTCCCACGAGTCCCGACGCGGCGCTCTCAGCGCCCCGGGGTTTTTCGGCGGACGCTTCGGCACCTCCGGCCGTCATCGGCGGGAGCGAGCGGGACTGGACCGTGTTGCTTTAGTCTGCGTGCTGCTAGGGTTGAGAAGCGACACGAAGGGTTGCTAAGACTTTATCTTATTGCAGGCGGAGTGAGGACCGCGGCAGAGCATCTCGTCGGTCTAACCGGCGAGCGCCTGGGGTCCCCAGGTAAGCCCTCCTGCTGGGGGTTTGCGTAGTGCCGCCGCTCGGCTATCTCAGCGTCTTTCGGGTCTGCACGGTGCTGTTTCCGAGATCTCGGTTTTTTTGTTTTTTTGTTTTTTTGTTTTTTTTTTAGAGAAGCTGGCACGGGGCCGTCGCCCGGCTCCCCGAGATCGAGCACAGCTCTGCGTTGGTCTGAGCCCTTCCCGCGCCCAGCAGCGGGAGCGGGTAGGACGGGACCGCGTGTCTCCTCTTTCCTTTCTCACAGTTATGCGTAAGTTCAGGAAGACTGCCTTCTCGTCGTGGAGGTGCAGTTTGCGCGAGTGCAATGCTGTTGTGGATGGCGGTGTTCTTTATAGCGAAGACACTCCGGCGTTGCGACGGAGTCGCGGCTAACGCGTGGGAACCGAATGGACCGAACTCCGCCCGGGGACGAACGGAGAGCGGAGCGCTCGACGGCGCGTCAAGGTGGGAAACGTCCCCGGTCGTCATAGACTGGTATGAGGAAGCCGGTAAGACCTTCCCGCAGCTGGAATTACCCTCAGTGCTGCGGGCACTCGGTCTCACAACCTGTACGGAGCAGTACAGGTTAGGAGCTGGTGTGCTGGGAGTGATGTTGGAGGAGGGTGGCATTATCTCGGGGTGTGTTACAATGAGTGCTGGGATTCTCTTTTCAGATTCCCCCTGGTGAGACTGCTTCTGCCTAATGGCTCTGCAGCTTGAGAACGGTGGTAAGTTTGTGACAGTGAGCAAGATGGGAATATTACCACTGTGGTTTGGGCTTTTTTGGATGTGTATGGGGGGTACTCAGCAGTAGAGAGGGGTGTGATGTTCTGAGAACTGAATGCAAGAAGTTGTATGTCACATGAAGCAAGAATAACCTGCCTGTTGAGTGTCCTTCTCTGGGGCTATTTGGGCTGTGTCTGGATGCTGTGCTGTTGGTAAGCTACTTTAGTGAAGGAGTGTGACTTGACTGCCTCTGGAAGAGCCTTTTCTATCCTTACAGCTCTGCCATTTCTATGTCCCTGCAGGATGAGGGCTGGTGGAGCTCTTTCTTGCAGGTTCAGGATCCTGGTGCCTTGTCCTTTTTTTTCCCTGACAGGTATGTGCTGTTCCTTGAGGTGAAGCTTCACTGCTTTAATTTCAGGACTGAAAGTGTGGGATTAGAGTGAGAGGTAAGAAGTATTCCCTGTGGTAGGGCTTCTGATGGTATGTTGTCTGTTTTTTCCTCTTAGGTTGTTCAGCTGGTCTTCTGAAAGCTGCTGAGTTGGTGGAGCTGACCTGAGGGGTAGGTGTGGGGTGATGTGCTCCTTTTTGTTGTGTTTTCTGTGGGGTATTTGAATTTTGTGTTGCTGGCTTTATTTCCCTTTGGGGTGGTGGTAATGGGTTGCTTTTGGTTGTGTTGGTTCCTTGGGGCCAGGGTTTGCACTATCTCAAAGAGATTATTTTTTTGGGGTGGGGGGTGGGTGCACTGGTTGGCATTGGAAAATTTTTGAGAGAGGGGGCCCCACTGGGCTGTGGGAGGCTCCCCCTGAGTGGGGGAAGGAAGTGTGGGGGGACCCCACTGGGCTGTGGGAGGCTCCCCCTGAGTGGGGGAAGGAAGTGTGGGGCCATACCATACCTGGGTGCTGGAGTGGCTCCTGTGTTGTGATGTTCCTTCTAGGCTGGAAGCAAGAAGAAGGAAGCAGCTCTTCCTGGCCTTTTTCTGCCTGATAAAGTTCAGCTGGCTTCATCTCAGGTGAAATCTTGAATGAGGTCTTGGTCTGTGATTTCAGTCACTACGTGCAGTCACTTAATGTGCTCTAGGAAGTTCGGGGGGTTTACCCTGTTGAAAGGGCTTGGGTAAGCAGCTTGAGGTGAAATGTTCCTGTGGTGAGTATCCATCCAAGTCTATGTCTTGTCTACGCTAGGACTATTTCACATTATCAGCAACCTGAACAGACTCAGATGGTTAGA